GTTTGAAAAAATTGGTATCGTTGCATCCCTACTTACAAATGTGGCGAAATTTAAGGGGAAATAAACTGGCCTTTTATCTGTTCGTGAGAAACTTCAGTACCAGCTGGCCTCTCCCACCCTGCCCATCCTGCTTTGCCACATCATGACTCATAAATAAACACAATAACTCCTAAAAGTTTTAAATCACACACTGTCTCTGACCCTGGAAATGCACCAACCTGCTGTTCGCACCCCTAAATGAAATGCTGCAGAGCTAATGAAGGTATTTAAGACAAACTGTCAAGAACCCCGCGTTTCACTTATAAATGTCACCAGCTGCAAATTATATCATGTACAGCTAATTACCATGAAGTCTGTAAATAATAAGCCAGCATTGTTATTTGGCTATTTTGTTTTTTTGGGGGTTTTTTTTGTGGCTAGCTCGCTTCACTTTTTAACACCGTCCCAAGAACACGAGGAGCACACTGTGTGCTTTTGTAATTTAGCAACACTAGCGTAGTCACATTCATTTCAAATATTCCATGCATATCGTATCATTTTAAATCACACAAAAGTTCTGATGTGGGACATCTGTTGTTTTGAGCGAGTGGCACAGAAATTGAAAGGTGTGAAAAAGCTTTCTCGGTAAGTAATGCTACAGCTTTTATTTCCCGTGATGTCAGGTATATTTTTAATAAGCCGCTGCTACCTTATGCTGGTTGTCTCATTTTCAGGTTACACTGTAGCAAAAGGCTGTGCATAATAATTAGGCTGACACCTAAAACTTTAGTGTTTCTAAGACAACAAAAGCTTATTTCATGGATCTCCATATGCTTTCTTTTTTAACTACAAATGTGAAAGCTCATCCAAAATGGATATGATTAACTGGAAGCATTCAGATTTGACATGCATTACAACCACGTGAAATGAGTCTATTTATTTCTGCCTGATAAATAGGTGCACAATACTATTAATGCTATTAACCCAGGAGTCACCCCTACTGGTGTGCCTAATATAAACCTTCTCGACTTTACTTTCAATCCAGAGGAGTGGTGGCTTCATTCTGACCTTTTCTGGAAAAACTAAGCTCCTCGTCACGTCTCCAAAATCATGACCACACAATGATGGAGGTGAAAGGTCTATCGAGTCAGGAAAAAGTAAATAAGACATCCAGCTAACTCACCACGAGCAGTGATACCAAACTCCTCAATGCATTTAGAGCCCCAGTGGGGCATAAGCTGCATGAGCAACAGTGGGGGTCTATTGCTTTGTGGACTGGGAAACAATTGAAAACAATGGGCTTGGTGTTGGCACGCTTTTCTTAGTTTTTGTGATATTTTCCTGAATTTTTAACTCATGTAATGGCATCTGTCAGAAAGCTTTCTGTTGTCTTGGTTCTGTGTTACAGATTAAAAAAAGCGTTAAAAAAGAAATAAGAGCAGAAACTCTGTCATTTCACAGTCACCCATGTGAGGCCCGTCTAAGAGGCCACTTTGAGCTTTGAGCTTGACTGGGAAATTCTTTTGTTACACTGGCTTAAACGTATCACAGCGTTACCCAGTCGACACTGAGACGTAGCAAAATTGATTGAGAAAAAGTGCCTCGAGTTGAGTTGACGTGCACGCGCAGCTAAAAATCAAGACAAGATCAGAATCGGGTCCCACAGAGTGCCGCTCAGCGCAGCTGCTCCCCACTCAGTTATAAAAATCTGATTTTTACTGTGCGTGTATGTGGAGCGGATAGGCAATGTGGTGTGAAATGACTTCACACGGAGCCCTTTGCGGTTTAACCTTCAGCTTCTTTTAACATCTGCAACATTTTAATCAGCGTCCAGAAGTGATAGTGCCGTCGGCATAATGATGGAGGCCGCCAGTGAGGCCCGCAGGGCCTCATACCCGCCAGTGCTGTTGTGCTTCCAATCAACATCGGCTCCTGAATGCGAACACCAGGGGACCCTCCCTCACTGCTGCACCAGCAACAACATCTTCAGAGAAAGAGCCAAGTAAAATTGTATTTAACAGCAATTTAATAGCAAATCTCCTCCAGGGTTTCGCACGAGTTCGATGTTGTGTCTTCGTTTCCTGTTGGCCGCGCTTTACTTTGAAA